GAAAATACATCGCGTTTAACTGTATATTATTTAAATTTCTAGATGAAAAATGACAAATAAAGAATGCGAAAATAAAACAGATATTCATATTTATTTCTCGTCATTCTCTCGTCTCTCATTCCTGATACTATTTCACGTATTTCGCTTCTTCATGTCATACGCAACACTGAAAAAAATATATACATATATATATCTGCGGTTTCTCTCTCTCTTCTTTTTTTTTTTTTTTTATTTAATCGTGTAACTTAAATGACAGGTCACATATGTGAGAAGATGGATCTCGCGTATTTTTTCACGTTTCAGCCATACGCTCTAATTATACGGGTAATCGAATTGACAAAAAAAAAAAAAAAAAAGGTCGGGATTATATACTCGACGGCGTATTGCGAGCTCGATGATTGGAATATTTTCAATTACTTATGCACACAGCGCTTTCAATTGTCACTCTGACCGAATGAACGTTCAGCCAATTACAGTGCAGACGCAATATTGAAATGACACGATCGTCGGCACACGCGTCAAAAAAGAAAATAGAAAAGTGAGGGCGGGTGGAACTGCATAAACGGCCGTAAATCCCGCTATTAATATAATGACACATGTAACGACACATGCTACCGTTTCGTATAGAAGAGTCATTTAATATAATTAATACGTAGCATTGAATAATGAAAGCTCACTCGTTCAAACTTGTTGAGTTTTTATTTCGCTCGTCGAGAGAGTCATCGGCTAAATCCTGGAATATTATGATCAAGTTCGAGTAAAAGCTTGTGTATCTCTGTTATCATAAATAGTACACGTACATTATATATTATATGTTATCATAAATAATTATTATATATTATAGTTATCATAAATAATACACACGCGTATACACGTATACGCAAGATACGCATGCGATTTATTCGAAACTGACTGAACTCTGTTTACCGCTCGTATCTCGCGTAATTTATCCGAGATTCAACCTGAAAATTATGCCAAAGTCATAAGTAAAACGAATTAATATAATTACATTCCTATCGTTCATCTTCTCGGTTCCATCTAAACTTAACTCTCTCGTCGTCATTTTCTTGCCCCTCTAATTACGTCTCTCCTCAGAGAGAAGGGGAACCAGCTAAATTTCAATTAATTTCAATTAATAATTCAAGAACTTTGGAGCGATAACGGAAATAAACAGCATGGCGACAGACTACTAACCAGCTCTGAGCCACTGAACAATGTTTTGTATAATTCAAACTCTTCAGCACCTCTATAATAAAACATCGATTGCATCCATGGATGTAGTGATCGCTGAAGAAATACACAATTTCCCGAACAAATTACGAAATATAAAACTGTCGAATCTTTTTACTCCGGTTTGCTTCTCGTACAGTCGCGAAGATAAAAGAAAAAAAAAGGGATGGAATAACAACGTTTCGGGGAATTCGCTCAAAAATACGTGCGAAAAGTTTTTCGTGGGATTCTCTTTCGCATCTCTCTCCCTCATTTTAATTGAATTAATTACATGTTCCATTATTTGTGTCGTCCGTGAGTCGTCGCTCGTTTCCGATTCTTTGGATCGGACGCATCGGGGAAAAATACTTTATCACCGTCATCCGCGATGTGACGTACGAGCTTTCCGCGATACGTTTTTCCTTTCTTTTGTTTCCGCCCAAACAGGGTTACACATAGATATCCGTATTATTCCAGATTGTTCGGACGTCAGAGAGGCGACGTTCGCCGTGGCTCGATTTTGCTAAGGGAGAACCCCTTTATTTCGAGATGAAATAGAGCACGGTGAGGATTACGTATTTGTCACCCACGTAATATAAGTCATGTGAAAAATATCGTCTAATAAAAGAAAAGATACACACACGAGTATAACTCAATTTGCAATGTGCCACCTTAGTGTTGTGGCGCGTTGGTAAATAAAAACAGGAGCTATAATAAATAGCACACTCACGGTTGTTTATTACGCTCCTGTTACGTAAAGTCTTTATTACGAACCTGTTTTACGCGATCGTAACTTCTTTCGGGAGAAAAAAAAAAATCAATTATTGTGAGTGTGTACCTAGCGGTATATTCTATAATTTTTCAGCTGACACGATGGGGAATAATTTTTATACATGTGACAACATTTTGCGCTATTGCGTGTATTTGCCGAAACGCTGAAAATAATCCAATTTTATTTTACCTAGAAAAAGTAATAACGAGAGGAATCCGATATAAATAATGATAGCGGCGAGATCACACGTCGGCATTTGGCCTCATAACTACTTTCGCGCATACGATAAAATATTTCTCATACCAAAGCATATTAATGTCGCTCGAAGTATGTTCCATGGAGGAAATCGGCACAGCCTCCCGTTTATTCGAGAATTTTAGCAGTCACGATTAAATATATCACACGACTTGTAATTTAGAAACAATACTGAAATAAATGCTGCTAAATCAACGAGAACAGTGCTGGAGTCTTTTCAAATTATTTTTCAATGTATAAGTTAGAAAAGAACCTTTCCTTGATCAAATTTTCATAGCAATCTTCACTGTTCATTTTTGTTAGCGTTCCATTATTTCTTTCTATAATTAGTAATTTTTTGTTGAGCATAAATTAGTTCTCCAGATTGATTGAAGAATATGTTAGGAAGAAAGTAAATAAGAAACATGATAAGTTATATTCTGAACTGTCACTCGTATATATTCGAGTTAACAGATTCTTTAAAGGATTCATCGAGAGTAGAAACAATTTAATTGTGCCTCATTTCCTTTTTATCTCTTTCTGTTCTTTCGGTGTAATTACGCGTGATCATAAAACCGCCGCAATTTTCTTAATGCAGTCCGAATAAAAAAGTAGAGCGAAAGAAAATATAGTCTGAATAGAAAAGTAGATCGAGAGACTTTCAAGATAACTGCTTGAATGTACTTATCTAAGGGATTTGGTGAAGGACTGAGCAAAAATAATTGTATCTTATATTGAAATAAAATACATTAGCGTTAAGTATATAAACGACAAGCATAGATTACTGCACAGAAATAAGAATAGTAGCAATAATTTAGAAAAATATGTTATTTCAGAATAAATAAAGAATATTTACGTTGCTCCCATTATAATTTAAATATATTAACATCATTAACACTCAGTATTAATAAAGTATTAATAAAGAAAATACAAATTTATTACATCTTCGCATACATTTCAACCAAAATATGCATAAATATAATTAATATGCGTATATAAAATGCATAATTTTATGACATAATTATATGAAAATTCTTGTTTTTACATTTTTTTCTTAAAATTTTGAGCAATTTTATATATATGTTTGTCTATGTAAATTAGAAAATATATAATCAGTCTTTAATTCATATATATATAAGAACAAGATTATATTATTTTCTTAATAAAAATATTAATATTCTTATTTTTTTTAAATTACTCAAATAAACTTTTTTAATATATTGTATAATATATAAAAGTCTGTATTTAATACAAAAATGTTTATTCATGAAAATTTAAATATCTATTCTATTGTAAATCAGTTCTTATGTAAATATTCGCATATTTTAATCAAAAAAATATAAGAAATATATTTTTGAATTTTACTTTTTGTTCAATTGCGTAAGAATATATAAGAAATGTGTATGCATTTCATATTTTTATTATAAAATTATTAATGTCTTTTTGTGGAAGATGTCATTATTTTTGTGTTTCATCTTCTTTAGTATAATACATAGAATCTAAGAAACATTTCGTAAAATCGCCGATTATATTTCTATCCGGGATACTTTGGCTCATTCCGTACATTGCAAGCTAAAAAATATTACGTAATATAATTAATAATTTAAAACGTAAGATATCTAGAATTATAAATTTTAATTTTGTTGATTTTACCTTTCCTTCCACTAAAGTATCTCGACTTTCCATAATTATTTTCAATTCTGTCTTAAGATCCTCTATAAACTGATCGGCAATTCCTGGCTTAGTATGCACATGCGTTACACATATATGTATACCACAAGGGAATTGCAGTGAATTCAAGTTCCAACCTTTGGCACTAAGTGCTTCTGATAATCTATAGATGTGAAATTCATTGGAACCAATTGCAATAACAGACGTGGCTGGTACGCCATATATAAAGATTCCATCTATAGCTCTCAACCTGTTGTCATTGAATTTTAAAAAAAAATCAATGATATTTTTAATCGATCCCGATAGAAATGATTTTAAATGCTTACTTCCGTTCAATATATCTGGTAGTTTCAATGATCATCTTCGTGGATTTCACATATTCATCATGTCCATAATGCATCAACGTTGCCCAACAAGTAGCTATGATACCACCAGCTCGAGAACCACCTATTGTTGGGGAGCCATACAAACCGCCAGGCCATTCTGTGGTCACTGTGTACTGATGATGTCGATATTTTTTGTTTCGATAAAGGATTAACGAAGATCCTTTTGGAGCATATCCATACTAAAAAAGTTATACAATTTATTCATACAGTCAAGTAACATGTACAATTTTCTATATATGTCGCGTGGTAATACCTTATGCGTGTCAGCAGATATGCTAGTTACACCAGGAAGCCTAAAATCAAAGGGTGGTAAAGGGTAACCGGCATCATCCATAAAACAGGCTAGAAAACCACCTAGACAGGCATCCACATGAACCGGAATATTATATTTCAAACCTAATTCAGATATCGCTTCAATATTATCCATCGTGCCATAGGGGAAATTTGGTGCAGATCCTACTAACTGCCAGAAATATTAAACTCGGATAAATATGAAATAAACTTGTATGCGATTGTGTTATATCGAATCTTACCATTATCGTATTCTTTGTAATTGCCCTTTTCATAGTTTGGATGGAAACCGTATAACTGTTCGGATTAACAGGTATGACACGTAATTTTATGTTCAAATATTGTGCAGCTTTATCAAACGCTGCATGAGCAGTAATCGGCATTACTATCTCTGGTTTTTTAATGTTTTTCACTTCACGAGCGTAATCTCTATATGCTTTACATGCTAACAGAATTGATTCCGTACCACCAGAAGACATCTATAATGTTGAAAATCAGTATGTTGCATCCACACTCTATTATATAATTTATTAAACTAATAAAAAAACTACTTGCAGTTCCACAACTTTCTTTGTCTCCATTGAACAAGTGGCAAGCTATCCTAACTACTTCTGCCTCCATTTTACAAATCCCAGGAAAAATATCGGGATGTAATGGATTAGTATATGATGCAATGGTATAAACATCTCCCATCAATTTTGCAAGTTCATTGTTAGTTCTATAAACCGCACCAGATACACGACCTGCTTCCCAATCATAATCACCTAAAAAAAAATTAGAAAAATGTTAAAATATCAAAAATATCAAAATATCTAAAAAAAAAATATATATATATTATAGTGAAGTTAATTGTTCTTACCTAGATGAATACTTTGATTTATTAAATTCAATATCTCTTCATTCTTTAGTCCATTTTTTGGGAGACGCACAATGAATGAAGCTTTTTTGAGTCTCTCCATAACATCCTTTTCAAAAGTTTCATTAACACTAACCAATTCCTTGTTTATCCTGTCACGAATAGAAGGGATATAACGAACTAGTTTGAATACTTGTTTCTTGCCACGTTCTAAAAGACCTGTGTAGTATATATATATACATATATTATGATACATGGCAATATAAAAAAAGAAAAATAATAAAAGGACAAAAATACGTAATAACTTACGTATAATGTATGCTATACGAAGTTATTACGAT